GGTTTCAGCAGTGTGGGGGGGTCCGAGGGGTGAGTTGTGGGGGGGTGGGGGTTTCAGTTTTACGGGGTTTCTGGGGGGGGCCTCCCCCCCCCCCCCCCCCCCCCCCCCTTCCCTCTGCCAAACCCACCATTCCCGCCCCTCCCGAAGCTCTTGAACTCCGTGCACCCCGCACAGCCCATAGGGTGTCCGCCCCGGTGGTGCATGCGCGTTCAATTTTTTCCTGTGCGCTGTCACGTGGCGCGTTTGAACGTGCGTGCAGGAAAGTTGAACGCATGTGTTTGAACACGAACGCGCGTTCAGGGCGTTGAAATGGTAACATAGGCTCAACGGCTTGGAATTTTCCCTATAAACTGTCAGTGCGTAGCCAGTCGTCATGCAGAATTGCAATTTTACCGGCGGATTCCTGAATGTCACTAGCTAGTGGTCAGACTTGCGCCAGTACATCCAAAATGCATGCAGCATTGTTTGCACTAAAGTATTGCACTGTTTTTTTTTTAGCGCTGCTGATGACTTGATGTTGATGCCTTCTGGATCTGTTTTTTTTTGGACTTTCCCCGTCATGTGATCTTTGTGACTCTTCTCTGCAGGTTCAGTCCCCTGAAAAGCCAGTGGCAAGAGTCCTCGTGTGAGTATAATACTATAAATATATTTGGTAAACCGATTACAGCACCAACCAAACTTGCTTGTGGGAGAAGAGGACTTGATTTCATTAATAGACGGTAGCAAAGCACTTCAAGGTTCAAAAAGACAAATCGATTTCATTCCAAAATAGCAGGCCGGTAACCCTCATGTGGGACCCACAGATTAAACACCGTGCACGTGCCGACCCTGTGCATGCACAACCCCATGCACGTGGCAGCGGGTTCGGAGTTGAGCAACACAACACTGGTGCAAAACCGGTCATGCATTACATGAGAGAACAAACATCCAGGCACCAACTGCTTATTTTCATTTCCTCTTTGAAGTTCCTAAAGGAGTTATGCGATTGGGTCAACGAGGATGTCTTCAGATGTGTACAGAAATCACATGCCGCAAGAGACAACAGATAACGATGACAGCAAAGATGCAGTAACAGCCAAAATGGAGACGAAGAAGAACAAGAAGAATAAGCAGAAGGTCAGAGAAGCAGCAAGAAAGAAGAGGATGACAGCCACAACAACGAAGAAGAAGAAGAAGAAGAAGAAGAAGAAGAAGAAGAACAACAACAACAACAACAACAACAACAACAACAAGAATGTGGGATGCTGTTGTCGAAAGATTCTGTGACAACGAGGAGGAGAAGAAGGAAGAAGAAGAAGGCGACAAAGACGCAGAAGAAACAGAGGGACAACGACCACAGCAACAATGAAGAAGAAGAAGAAGAAGAAAAATAATAATAATAATAATAAGAAGAAGAAGAAGCACGAGATGTGGGATGCTGATATGGAAACCTTCTGTGACAGAGGAGGAGGAGGAGGAGAAGAAGAAGGTGGAAAGATGGTATTATAAGGTGGTGTACCAAAGTAGTGTGTGTGTCAGGACATCTTTCCTAATTGCTAGTTAGCCATGACTACGGAAATATGACTCCCGAATATCCATCGACCATCCAGCTATGTATGACATGAGCTTGACATGATTGAACAACATGGCATTGTGAAATGCTCGTTCGCAGCACATTTCCTCACAGCACATGCAATTTGTGACTTGTAGCTATGGTGGACTGCTTCTGGAGTTCCGTTTGCGCATTCATCCCCTTTTTTATTTTCTAAAACAAAAGGGCGGCGATGGCCTTGAGATATGATCATAGAACTGACAGGCCCCAGGTAATTAAGAATTATTTTGTGACTTCGTTCATCTACTGTCTCCACCCGAATACAACATACGGTCATTATAGCTGTATTTGGGCCAGCTTTGAGTCTAGAATCTAGATACAGCACATGGGTCCTAGGGACCATCTCACGCAAATGTGTACATGTCATGCATCAACTTCACACGCAGTGATCAATAGTATCAACCATAGACAAAGGTAGAGAAGAAGAGGACCGATTTTCACAACTTATATTATCAGAAATATGAATACAAAGTGTTTCAAAGTTCCCCTGGGTCCAGCGCTCATCAGCCCAACACCAATCTCTTATCAACTCATCAATATGGCTTCCAATGTATCAGCGCTACATCTGCAGACAATCTCCAAGTCGTCAATGTGGTCACTACTTCTTCAGCGCTACCTCTGCAGGTCACATCTAAGCCAGGTAAGTATCTTCCATAGCCGAACCTTGAATGAACACTTTCAGCCTCAGTGCCTTCCTCCTACGATGCATACACACTCTTCACTCATGAGGATCTACTCTGGATACTACTCATAGCTACATACTAACCCACTACTACTAATGCTAACTTGCTGGGCAGCTATGGCTGCATCACTTCCAGCATACAGGCTTCTCCCTTCACTCAGCGCATCTTCTCCTTCCAGCG